GGGGGGCAGCCGCATGCATCATGGACGTACGAGCGACGTCCATGACCATGCCAATGCGGCGCTCAGCAATCCCATTTTGCTGTGGAGAGTCCGGAAGCGTGAAGGTCTGGCGGATGCCTCGTGCACGACAGTAGGCTCGCAGAAGGCCAGAGGAGAACTCTCCGCCTCTGTCAGAGTGCAGACGCAGAACAGGAAAGTCCGAGCCGAAGCTCCGCCTGAGCTGGAGACGAGCTGCGCGGATCCAGTCGATCAACACCTCAGTGACATCACCCTTGCTGCGCAAGGGGAAGACTGTGGTGTAACGCGAGTAGTCGTCAACCACCAGTAGGAAGTAGCGCTCGTGACCCTGTCCACGGACGCGGGCCGGGCCCCACACATCCATGTGAAGCGTCTGCAGCGGGGCCTCTGTCGGAGGAAACTGAGAGGAGTGAGGGGCAGCCTGCTGCCGCCCCTCGACACAGGGGACACAGGTAGGGCCAGGCCCCGGAGGAAGGGGAGGGAGGGACCGGGGAAGACCAGAGACAAGGACACGGGAGGCCATGCTTCGGAGACGAAGCAGGGAGGGGTGACCAAGGCGGTGGTGCCAGAGGAGAGTCTCGTGAGACAGGAGACGACACGAGCAGGGGGCAGACTCAGGACCAGACCTGGACGCTGCAGCAAACACCTGACCAGACGCAGTGACTGGAGGAGACGTAGTGGTCAGCGTGTACAGGCTCGACCCCAGCCGACGTGTAAACGTGGCCAGGTGTCGGCCTGTCCGAGCGTCCGTGCAGTGGGTCACCCGCTGACTCGCAGGAGTGAACTAGTGAACCCCCGCATCCTGTAGGTCAGCACCACTCACCAAGTTCGTAGAGAACGAGGGGAGGTAAAGACCAGACAGGGTGCCAGAGGGGGCCGCCGGACACGGGAGGACAGTGGAGAAGTGAGCAAGGACAGGACCCCTAGAGGGGTCGGCCAGAGAGACTGCAACTGGCCGACCAAGCGGCGTGAGTGTGGTGCGGTCTCAAAAGAAGGAGCGGGAAGCCCCCGAGTCAAGAGTGAAGGTGTGAGAGGCCGGAGCCGACGCGGTACCTGAGAGAGCAGACTCACCCGCACCTGAGGAAGCAGACTCACTAGCACCTAGAGCAGCAGCCGCACCTGTACCTGGAGCAGGAGACTCACTAGCACCCAGAGCAGCAGCCTCACTAGCAGCTAGAGCAGCAGGCTCTATACCCGGGTCAGGCGGTACGCACAGGTGACCGGCACGGTCAGCACTAGTAGGCAATGCATACATGGCAGTGAGAATAGCATCATAGTCAAGAGCAAATATATCTACCCTCTGCCTAAGCAACTCCACCCAGTCGGGGAGCTCAGCCTCGTCGCCAAACCCGGTACGCCAGGCGTCGCTCAGACGGGCGAAGCAGCGGGACTGTGTGTGACTAGGTGTCCCACAAGGCTGACCAGTCCGAGCACCAGTGCGAATCACGTAAGAGCAGCGAACAGAACTGAGAGACCCTCTACTCTGAGCGTACCACTCACGAAGCTGCTGGGGCATGAGAGACGCGCGTGGGCGTCGTTGGAGCTACATCTGGCCGCCGCAAGTAGTAGTAGCAGCAGTAGTGGTAGCAGTAGCAGCGCCGCCACCCCTACAACCCCAACCAGCGTACCACTCACGCAGCTGCTGGGGCGTGAGGGACTCACGCGGACGTCGCTGGGGCTGCATCTGGCTCCGCCAGTAGAAGCAAGAGCAGGAGTAGCAGCAGTAAGGCAGGCAGCCAGGCAAGCCGAAAGGCAGGCAGGCAGGCAAGCAGGCGGCGGGCAGCGCGCTAGCAGGGCAGGGGCTCACCAGTGGTGGGAAGAGCAGGCTCGGCGACTCGGCGACTCGGCGGTGCGGGCGGCTCGGGCGGCTCGGCGGCACGGCGGCTCGGCAGCAACTGCGGCTCGGCGGCTCGGGCGGCTCGGCGGTATGGCGGCTCGGCAGCAGCTGCAGCTCGGCGGCTCGGCGACCCGGCGGCTCGGGCGGCTCAGGTGGCGCTGCGGCTCGGGCGGCTCGGTAGCAGCTCGGCGGCGCCGGCGGCTCAGTGGTGACGGCGGGGCCGCTTGGGGACGGCGGCGGGGCCGGGTGGAGCGGCGATGGGGCCAGCAAAGGTGGCGCCGGGGCCGCAGGGTAGGTGACGGGGCCAGCAGAGGCGGCGCCGGGGCCGGGAAGGGCGGCGCCGGGGCCGCAGAGGTAGGCGACGGGGCCAGTAGAGGTGGCGCCGGGGCCGGTAAGGGCGGCGTCGGGGCCAGCAGAGGCGGCGCCGGGGCCGCAGAGGTAGGCGACGGGGCCAGTAGAGGCGGCGCCGGGGCCGGTAAGGGCGGCGCCGGGGCCAGCAGAGGTGGCGCCAGGGCCGGGAAGGGCAGCGCCGGGGCCGCAGGGGTAGGCGACGGGGCCAGCAGAGGCGGGGCCAGGTCGGGAAGGGCGGCGTCGGGGTCGCCGGGGTAGGCGATGGGGCCAGCCGAGGTGGCGCCGGGGCCAGGAAGGGCAGAGCCGGGGCCGCAGGGGCAGGCGACGGGGCCAGCAGAGGCGGGGCCGGGTCGGGAAGGGCGGCGTCGGGGTCGCCGGGGTAGGCGATGGGGCCAGCCGAGGTGGCGCCGGGGCCAGGAAGGGTGGAGCCGGGGCCGGGATGGGCGGCGCCGGGGCCGCAGGGGTAGGTGACGGGGCCGCTAGGGCGGCGGATCAGGGCCGCGAGGGCGGCGCGACGCGGCCGCTAGGGCGGCGCTACGAGGTGGGGCCGCGACGGGGCAGCAAGGGGTCGCGCGCGGCTCCTCTGGGCGTCGCGACGGGGTGGCGGGGAGTGGCGCGCCTAGAAGAAACGGGGCCGCGCGCCTCGGGGCGCGCGCCAGAGAGAAAATCGCCGCGCGCCAAATAGGTCGCACGCCGCGCGCCACGGGGCGTGCGACAGATCGAGTAGCAGCGGAAGCAGTAGTAGGGCCCACAGGCCAGGAGCATATGTGCTCTGAAACCATGTGAGAATGAACGAGAATGAATGCACTATGAAAGAGTTGGGTACAAATACTAACCCTAATTGGGTACAAATACTAACACAAAAGGCTACCCCATATAGGCTACCCCACTATAGCCTACACAAAAGCATAAGCTATAATGTTCTGACATCTGAGTGTCAAGTAAAACTAAGTCGTCGGGCTGGTAAGTGACAGGTCTGCGGTGGCGGTCGGCGTTGCGTTAACGATGATGTTCGATTTTTTTATTGTCCGTAGTTTAGGTAAAATGGTGACTGTTGGGTCGTGGTGGATGGCGAGTTGTTGTACGCGAATTCGATTAGTGGCTGCTGCTGTTCCCACGTAGTCGGGTCGTCACACGTGGCCCTGATGAGCTATTCCATGGTCTGATTTGTCCGTTCTGTCTGTCCGTCGGTTTCGGGGTGGTAAGATGAACTGAACTGTAGTCGCGTGCCGAACTGCTGCCACAGGTTCCGCCAGAAGTTGTTGGTGAATTTCGTGTCGCGGTCGCTGATGATCGCGGCTGGTATCCCGTGCAGTCGAACGACGGTGGAGATGAAGAGGCGTGCTGTTTCTTCGGCTGTGATTGATTTTTTGCAGGCTGCGAAATGTGCCATTTTCATCAGTCGATCGACGACGACCAGGATCGCGTCGTTCCCACTCGCCCCGGCTGGTAACCGCGTGACGAAGTCCATCGTCACCTGCTGCCAAGCACGCTCTGGGGGTGGTATCGGTTGCAACTGTCCCACCGACCGCTATCATGATGATTTCATGAGCTGACAAGTGGGACACGATGCCACGTGTCGTTGTACGTCGGTCAACATTTCGGGCCAGTAATAATACCGCTGCAGCTGTTGCCGTGTTTTTCTACTCCGAAATGCCCCAAGGTAACTCCGTCGTGTGCCTCCTGTAACAGTAATTCTCGTAGCAGTGTGGCACCCAAATGCGGTCAGTCCCGGTTTTTACGTAATAGACTCCGTTTGCTGTTGCGAACTGCTGCGAATTTCCTCCAGTGAAGAATGGATCCGTTTGGTACCCGTGGGTGAATAGGCCTGTCAGTAGCGGGCTTGTCTGGGCGAGTAGTATTGCGTGGATTTTGGCAGTGGGGCGGGTCAATGCGTCGGCGATGTTCGAGGCCCCCTTTTTGCAAGTGACCGTGTAGTGAAAGTTGGACTCGAGGAAATCGAGCCAGCGAATCTGTCGTGGGTTGAGGTGTGGCTGTGCGCGAAGGTACTGTATTGATTTATGGTGTGTCCGTACTGTCACGTCCGCGCTAGTCAAGTAACAGCGCCATACTTTGAACGCGTGCACGATCGCAAGCATTTCGCGGTCGTGTATCGCGTAATTTTTCTCAGGCGGATGCAGTTTTCGTGACTCGTATGCGATAGGCTGTAGGCCATTGCCGAAATCCTGTAGCAGTACGGCTCCGATGGCGATATCGCTTGCGTCGGTAACTACTTCGAATGGGCGGTGTGGGTCGGCGATGCGCAGGACGGGCGGTGAACAGAGAACCACCATGCTCTTTCTCCCCTCGTGTAAAAGCGACCCCCTTCCGCAGTAAATCTGTCAGTGGGGCAGTTAACCGTGCCATATCGGGGACGAACCGACGCACATAATTAACGAACCCTAAAAAGCTCTGCAGCTCCGTGATGTTCGTCGGGGGATGCCACGCTTTTACCGTATCCAGCTTCTTTGGGTCGATTTCAACTCCAGCCTCCGAAATAACGTGCCTCAAAAATTCTAACCTATCCTGGAAGAACTCGCACTTGGAACCCTTGGTCAGTAATCTGTGCTCGTCTAAAACCTTAAACACTGCTTCCAGATCTGCTAAGTGCTGCTGCTTATCCCGACTGTACACTAGAATGTCGTCGAGGTAAACTATTACACATTTATCTAAGGGCGGCCTAAATGCCTCGTGGTCATCTGAAAACTCGCCGGTGCGTTGGTCAGCCCGAATGGCATCACAGTGTACTCGAACGACCCGTACCTAGTCCTGAAAGCTGTTTTGGCGCAGTCCGATGGTTCGACCCTAATCTGATGGTAACCTCCCCGTAAATCTATTTTCGAAAAAACCCGTGCTGTTCGCAGTTGGTCGATCAGTTCGTCGGCGCGGGGAATGGGGTACCGCGACTTGACTGTTACCCTGTTCAGTGCTCTGTAGTCGATACACATGCGAAAACCCCCGTCTTTTTTCGGCGTGAATAGTATCGGTGCGGCGAACGGTGACGAGCTCGGTCCGATGATTTTTTTCTCTAACAGGTAATCTAGCTGCTTCCTTTGTTCGTCGAGCTCGGGCTGTATCAGTCCGAACTGGCGCTGTACGGTTGGTTGTGCCTCCGGATCTAATTCGATTCGTTGTTCATGTGCTCGCTGAGGTGGTAGTCCTTCCGGTAAGTCGTCGGGGAAAATCCCGGGGTATCGTTTCAAGAGTTCCTGTAATTCGGGCGGTACTGCTGCCAGCAGTTTCTTGAAATCACTCGGCTGCTCCGCTTCCTTTTTACTGCGATGTCTACTGCGTACACGTCAGCTCCAGCAGCGACAGCCCGTTTCATTGTGATGGCATTGACGTGTACCGTTGAAGACTCTGTCAGAACATTATAGCTCATGCATATTGTGTAGGCTATAGTGGGGTAGCCCATAAGGGGTACAACCCAATTAGGGTTAGTACTTGTACCCAATTCATTCATAGTTCAATCATTCTCGTTTCTTCTCATGGTATCGAGCAGGTTCCCTAACGGGAACGATTCCTAGGGCCCACCACTACGATTTTTTTTTTCCTGCCCGGAGCGCGCTCTGCTTAGGCCCGAGTCGCGCCTCGTGTGCTTTCCTTACCGTCGCGCCCTCACTAGGCCCCTCACGGCCCCGTCGCGTCGCCCTTAGCGGCCCCTAGCGGCCCCGTCGCGCTGCCCTAGCGGTCGCGTCGCGCCGCCCTAACGGCCGCGTCGCGCAGCCCAGGCCGCACTCACGGCCCCCTAGCGGCCTCTTGCAGCCCCAATCCGCCGCTCTTGCAGCCCCGATCCGCCGCCCTTCGCGGCTCGTCGCCACTCTCCCCCTGCGGCCCCTCGCCGCCCTTTCACCGGCGGCCCCGTCGCCGCCCTTGCACGGCCCTGACGCCGCCCTCCCTGCGGCTCTGTCGCCGCCCTCTTCAGCGGCCCGTCGCCGTCCCCTTTCAGCGGCCCCGCCACTACCCCTGCAGCGGCCTCGTCGCCGCCCTTTCAGCGGCCCCGCCGCCTCCTTTAAGCGGCCCCGCCGCCTCCTCTCCGCGGCCCCGCCGCCTCCTCTCCGCGGCTCCGCCGCCTCCTCTCCACGGCCCCGCCGCCTCCTCTCGGCGGCCCCACCGCCTCCTCTCAGTGGCCCCGCCGCCTCCTTTAAGCGGCCTCGCCGCCTCCTCTCGGCGGCCCAGCCGCCTCCTCTCAGCGGCCCCGGACGCCGCCCTCTCAGCGGCCCTTCCGCCGCCTCCTTTGCGGCCCCGCAGAGCCGCCCAGCAGCAGAGCCGCCGAGCCGCCCAGCAGCCGAGCCGCCGAGCCGCCCAGCCGCCCAGCCGCCCAGCCGCCGAGCCGCCCAGCAGCCGAGCCGCCGAGCCGCCCAGCAGTCGAGCCGCCGAGCCGCCCTGCAGCCGAGCCGCCGACCTGCCCAGCAGCCGAGCCGCCGAGCCGCCCAGCAGCCGAGCCGCCGAGCCGCCCAGCAGCCGAGCCGCCGAGACGCCCAGCTGCCGAGCCGCCTACCGCCCAGCTGCCGAGCTGCCGAGTCGCCCTGCAGCCGAGCCGCCCGAGCCGCCCTGTCTAGTAAGAGCAGCGCCTCTGTCACTGCACTGCCCTCACCCTACTGTTCGCGCTGCTAGTCTACTGCTGTCATGGCTACCCCTAGTGTCCTCGCTTTTGACGCTGAGGATAGATGACCTGCAGCTTTTCTTACAGTGCGATAGGGCGGACGGTCTCTCTCTCTTTGACCTCACCTCTGGTTCCTCTCCTGCCCCTACTACTGATGCTGACGCCACTGTCCGCTCACAGTGGGCCACGCGCCATGCTGCTGCACGTCTTGCTGTGCGTCGCCACCTGCCTACCTCTGAGCGTGCGCACTTTAGCCAGTACAAGAGTGCTCAGACCTTGTACGACGCTGTAGTTGCACGCTACTCCTCCCCTGCCACTGCTGCACTGAGCCGCCTCATGCTACCGTACCTCTTCCCTGACCTTGCTGCCTTTCCCACAGCCGCTGACCTCATTACGCACCTCCGCACTAGTGACACTCGCTACCGCGCTGCGCTTCCTGCTGAGTTCTGCGCCAAGAACCCCCCCCCCCCCCCATGTACATCACTCTCTACTACATAGTCACCCGCCTCCCTGACTCCCTTCGCGTAGTCAGGGACCACTTTCTCTCAGTCTGTCCCACCACTCTCAGTGTTGACCTCCTCAAGAAGGCCCTCCTAGCAGCGGAGAAGAGCATAGTCGCTGTAGGGGCCTCTCGTGGTGACCCGCGCACCCCCATCTTTGAGGGGTGTTCCCCCTCCCCTCTTTTGCCCTCTGTTGCCTCTGCTGCTGCGGCCGACCTCGTGGGTCTGGAGTCGGTCGGTGCGGCGTCTACCCCTAGTGGTCGCTCTGGCAAGGGCAAGGGGGGCAGAGGCGCTGGAGGAGCTAGCAGGGGCGGTGGAGGCGGCGGTGGAGGCAGTGGAGGGGGTGGGGGTGGTGGTGGGAGTGGTGGCGGGGGTGGAGGTGTCAGCGGCGGCAGTGGAGGCGGAGGCGGCGGCGGCGGTGGCAGTGGGATCGGAGGTGGTGGAGGTGGCGGCGGGGGAGGAGGCGGTGGCGGAGGAGGAGGAGGAGGAGGAGGAGGAGGTCGTGGCTCTTCGCAGAGGAGTGGCTCCGGTGGTGGTCAGCGACAGCAGCAGCAGCGCAGTCGGGAGAGCCTGTCCCCTCAGCAGCTCCGTGAGTGGTACGCTGCACGCCAGCGGGGTGGGGGTACGGGTCCGTGCACCTACGTACTGCGCACCGGCGACCGTGCGGGTGAGCAGTGTGGGGGTGCGCACCCCACCCAGCGCTGCTTTGGCCGCCTGACGGACGCTTGGCGTCACCAGTTCCCTGAGGCCACTGAGATCCCTCGCTGGGGCGAGCTGTCTAGGGCAGGGGTAGCTATCTTTGACCTTGACTTTGATGCTATTCTTGCTGCTATGTATATTGTGTCTATTAGTGAGGAGGGTGACTGTTACCGGTGTTTCCCGCCCGACCCGGGCATTGCGACTGCTGCTCTAGGTGCTGGTGAGGCTGCTGCTCTTGGTGCTAGCGCGGCTGCTGCTCTAGGTGCTAGTGCGTCTGCTTCCTCCAGTACTGGTGAGTCTGCGCTCTCAGGTACTGCGTCGGCTTCGGCCTCCCACACCTTCACACTTGACTCGGGGGCTTCTCGCTCCTTCTTTCGAGACCGCACCACCCTCACGCCGCTTGGTCGGCCAGTTGCAGTCTCCCTGGCAGACCCCTCTGGGGGTCCTGTCCTTGCTTAATTCTCCACTGTCCTCCCGTGTCCGGCGGCCCCCTCTGGCACCCTGTCTGGTCTTTACCTCCCCTCGTTCTCTACGAACTTGGTGAGTGGTGCTGACCTACAGGATGCGGGGGTTCACCAGTTCACTCCTGCGAGTCAGCGGGTGACCCACTGCACGGACGCTCGGACAGGCCGACACCTGGCCACGTTTACACGTCGGCCGGGGTCGAGCCTGTACACACTGACCACTGCGTCTCCTCCAGTCTCTGCGTCTGGTCAGGTGGCTGCGTCAAGTCAGGTGTTTGCTGCAGCCTCCAGGTCTGGTCCTGAGTCTGCCCCCTGCTCGTGTCGCCTCCTGTCTCACGAGACCCTCCTCTGGCACCACCGCCTTGGTCACCCCTCCCTGCTTCGTCTCCGAAGCATGGCCTCCCGTGTCCTTGTCTCTGGTCTTCCCCGGTCCCTCCCTCCCCTTCCTCCGGGGCCTGGCCCTACCTGCGTCCCCTGTGTCGAGGGGCGGCAGCGTGCTGCCCCTCACTCCTCCCAGTTTCCTCCGACAGAGGCCCCGCTGCAGACGCTTCACATGGACGTGTGGGGCCCGGCCCGCGTCCGTGGACACGGTCACGAGCACTACTTCCTGCTGGTGGTTGAGGACTACTCGCGCTACACCACAGTCTTCCCCTTGCGCAGCAAGGGTGATGTCACTGAGGTGTTGATCGACTGGATCCGCGCAGCTCGTCTCCAGCTCAGGCAGAGCTTCGGCTCGGACTTTCCTGTTCTGCGTCTGCACTCTGACAGAGGCGGAGAGTTCTCCTCTGGCCTTCTGCGAGCCTACTGTCGTGCACGAGGCATCAGCCAGACCTTCACGCTTCCGGACTCTCCACAGCAAAATTGGATTGCTGAGCGCCGCATTGGCATGGTCATGGACGTCGCTCGTACGTCCATGATGCATGCGGCTGCCCCCCATTTTCTGTGGCCGTTTGCGGTTCAGTACGCGGCGCATCAGATCAACCTTCAGCCCAGGGTCTCCATGCTGGAGACCTCCCCTGCTTTGCTGTGGACGGGGAAGGTTGGCGATGCGTCTGCGTTCCGTGTCTGGGGATCTCAGGCGTTTGTCCGCGACTTGTCTGCGGACAAGCTGTCCCCTCGTGCTGCTCCTTGCGTCTTTCTGGGTTTCCCCCCTGACGCGCCAGGGTGGCAGTTCTACCACCCCACCTCTCGCCGTGTTCTCTCCTCCCAGGACGTCACGTTCGACGAGTCGGTCCCCTACTACCGTCTCTTCCCCTACCGCACTCCGTCCCTCCCCCCGCCACCGCTCTACCTTGTGCTAGGTCCCCGCCCGGTAGACCCCCTCCCCCCTCAGGGTCCTGCCCCTTCAGGTGTGTCCCAGGTAGACGGTGTTGAGCCTGTCGAGGTCGCTGGTGACTCTGGTGCTGCTGAGGGTGCTGAGCATGGGGGTGCTGACTCTGGGGGTGCTGAGCGTGTGGGTGCTACGCCTGGGGGTGCTGAGCCTGAGGGTACTACGACTGGGGGTGTTGAGCCTGGGGGTGCTGAGTCTGAGGGTGCTGCGCCTAGAGGTGCTATGCCTGGGGGTGCTGAGCCTGGGGGTGCTGAGCCTGAGGGTGCTATGCCTGGAGGTGCTGAGCCTAGGGGTACGGAGCCAGAGGGAGTTGGGCCTGCTGGTGCTGTGCCTGGCGATTCTTGGAGTGCTTCTTCTTGCCGGGAGCCACTCTCTCCACAGGAGCTGCGTGAGTGGTTTGCCCGGCGCTAGAGGCGAGCTGCTGGAGCTGGAGGTGCTGCGTGTACTGGAGGTTCTGTTGCTGCTGTGGGAGCTGGTGCCACGGGTCCCGGAGGTCCTCGTACTGGGAGTACTGGAGCAGCTGGACCTGCGGCTACTTCTAGAGCTGGAGCTGCTGCGGGTGTTGGCGCGAATGCTACTGCTGTCGGTCGTGGAGGCGGTCCTGCTGGGGGTACTACTGGTGCTGCTGGGGGTACTGGAGCTGGAGCTGCTACTGGTGCTGGTGCTGCCACTAGGGATACTGCTGCTGTCTCTGCTGTGTCTGGAGTCGCCGCGCGGCCTCGGCCGTACTTCGTTCCGCTCCTTCAGCAGGTTCTTGGTCTCCCGTCTTCTACTGGTCCTCCTCCTCCCTTAGAGTGTCCACAGCTTGTCCCGTCGCTGTTACAGTTACAGCCGGCCTCCCCACTGCCTGCTCCGTCTCCCTACACTGGTCCTACTGGAGGTCTTGCTGAGCGTCGTGGGCCTGCATCTCGCCCTGCGTCGCCTGTCCGTGCTGCTCGCACTAGTGGTCGCGGTTCGCGTCAGCGTCGTCCTCTTGTCCCTGGCACGCACCGGATGTCTCTGCGTCCGTCCACTGCTCCTCTGCGTGCCCCTTTGCCTTCTCCTCCTGAGTCTTCTCTTCCTGCTCTTGCCGACCCGGAGTCGGACTCTCTTCGTGCTGCCAGTCCTACTGTCACGCGTCTCCTTGCTACTGTTGTCACTAACCCTTCCTTTGAGTCCACTGCTGCGTCTGCCCTAGTTGCTGAGCTCGTCGACTTTGCTGCTCGCTGTCGCCTAGACTACGCCGCCAGTCTTGTTGCTGAGTCTGAGTCTGTGTGTCCTCCGTCCGTCGGGGGTGAGTGTGCCCTTGGCACGGACGTCCTTGAGGACAGGCAGGAGGAGTTCCAGTGTCTGGCTGCTGCTTCACCTCATCTCGTGTCCGTACTACTTACCCCTGAGGGAGACCCGGATGCACTTGACATCCCGACTCCGCGCTCTTACGCGGAGGCGATAGAGGGTCCCTACTCCTCTCAGTGGCAGGCAGCTATGGACGCAGAGATGGCTTCCTGGAAGTCCACAGGCACCTATGTTGACGCTATTCCCCCTCCTGGGGCGAACATCGTCAGTGGCATGTGGATTTTCAGGGTGAAGCGACCGCCGGGTTCTCCGCCTGTCTTCAAGGCGCGGTACGTTGCTCGTGGCTTCAGTCAGCGGCAGGGAGTTGACTACTTTCAGACCTTCTCTCCCACCCCGAAGATGACCACTCTTCGGGTACTGCTGCACGTTGCTGCTCACCGTGACTACGAGCTACACTCTCTTGACTTCAGCACTGCTTTCTTGCAGGGCAGCCTGCACGAGGAGATCTTGCTGCGTCGCCCACCTGGTTTCACTAGGTCTTTTCATCCTGGCACCCAGTGGAGCCTCCGGCGGCCAGTCTACGGTCTCCGCCAGGCACCGCGTGAGTGGCATGACACACTGAGGTCTACACTTGCGGCTCTTGGGTTTGCTCCCTCTACTGCCGACGCGTCGCTGTTTCTGCGCACCGACACTTCTTTGCCGCCGTTCTACATCCTTGTGTACGTCGACGACTTGGTCTTTGCCGCAGCTGACACTGCTGGACTCGCCCACGTGAAGTCCGAGCTGCAGAAGAGACACACGTGCATTGACCTGGGTGAACTGCGCAGCTACCTTGGCTTGCAGATCACTCGGGACACAGCACGCCGCACCATTACCCTGACTCAGTCACACATGGTGCAGCAGGTCCTTCAGCGCTTCGGATTCACGTACTCCTCGCCTCAGGCCACTCCTCTGCCTACTCGCCACTCGCTCTCAGCTCTGCCTTCGGATGAGTCCGTAGAGTTGAGTGGCCCGTACCCAGAGCTTGTTGGCTGTCTCATGTACCTGATGACCTGCACACGACCTGACCTTGCATACCCTCTTAGCATTCTCGCACGCTATGTTGCTACTGGGAGACACGGACCGGAGCACATGGCTGCAGCGAAGAGGGTGTTGCGCTACTTGTGCAGTACGTCGGGCATGGGGCTTGTGCTTGGAGGGCAGAGTCCAGTGGTCCTCATCGGGCACGCA